GGTCGCGGAGAGCTCCAGCGCCTCCAGCGCAGCCGAGGCGTCCGGCCGCAGCTGCCCAAACTCTTCGGACGAGGCGCAGCACGCGAGCACCACCATCTGCAGCAGCTGCAGGGCGCCGTGGAAGAGGCGGCAGACGGCGTCCCCGTCGGTCATCATGTGCGGCGCCTGCAGAATCGACAGCACCGTCGCCAGCAGCTCCGGCCTAATCTCAAACACGACACGGCGCAACGCCAGCAGGCTCCGCTGCTGCGGGTTAGCCGCGGGCGTGCGCCGCGCTTCGTTCGCCACCGCCCGCTCCTGCCGTTCACTGCAGGGAACGCCGCCGCCGCCGCCGCCGCCGCCGCCGCCGCCCGGCAGGCCCGCGGCGTAGTGCGCGACAACCCCCCGCAGCAGCTCCATAAACCCGGCGCCGTCCTCAGGCGTGACAAACGGCGCCACGCCCACGCCCGCGCCCGCGCCGCCGTCTGCGGGAGACGCGGACGGCGCAAAGGCGCCCCCGTTCAGGCAGGACGCAAGCTGCAGCAGCGCCTCGCCGCTCACAGCCACCGCCTCCGCCTCCTCCGCCGTCAGCACCGCCGGCGACGACATCCTCCGTCACGCAAACAGCGTCGTTTCGGCGTCGACGACGGCGACGCGCGCGGGTCCACGGGGAAGCGCCAAAAAGGCAAAAAAAAAACAGAAACAGAAACAAATGCTACAAAACACGTCTTTTTCCCTCCTTCTTTCTCTCTCTCTGTGTGTGTGTGCTCTTGTAGTTGCGATAAGTAAACTGCAGCGGCTGGCCCCAGCGGCACCCGCCACTTGGTGCTCGACTCCCTGCACCGCGGCGGTGGCAGAGGGAGGCGAAGAAGAAGCAGGCACAAAGAAAACAGACAGATACGGGAGTGAGACAACCAACAGAAGCCGACAGTGAACGATGGGGAGGCACGCAAAGCCCAGGCAAACAGCAGCGCAGCGAAGGACGGTCGTCGCACGGCTATTCGCAACTGCAGCCGACGCCTCGCAATACGCGCCTCGGCAAGGCGGAGGCAAAGGCAAAAACACATAAAAACAAACAAGACGTCCTCACACATCGATCTACCTCTCTCACTCGTCCGTTCTCTCCTCTTCCCTCTCGTCCACTCGTTGTGTCACATATTATATATATATATATATATATATATATCCTGCTAACTGTCTTTCTCCTTCTTCTCCGCCTCTTCCTTTTCATCGCTCTTTTTACCATCCTTTTTCTTGTCTGTCTTTGTTTCCTGCCGCTTCCTCATGTTCTCCGCCACCAGGGCGTCGAACTTGCCGCCCGCCTTATCGAAGAGTGCCGTGACGAGGCGATCGTACTTGTCCAGGGCCGCGAGGGCGTCTTGGTAGAGCGTCGTGGTGGGCTTCTCGCCGCCGACGGAGGAGGAGGGCGCGCCGTCCCCGCCTTCCGCCTTCTGCGCCTTCTCCGCCTCCTCCTGCTGCCGCCGCTTGCTCGCCACATTCGCGTCCTGCTCGTCAAAGACGACGACGCACTGGTGCTGCTGGTCCACGATGCCGGCGAGCTTCTTGTCGAGGATAAGCTGGGAGACCTGCGACTCCACCGTCTCCACGTCGAGCCGCAGCAGCGAGGCGAGGTAGGAGATCTGCACCCGGCTGTACGGCTCCAACAGCTTTAGCAGGTGCCGCTCCAGCAGGCTGTTGTACATCTCGGTGAGTCGTCGCTGCAGGATCTCGTCGGCGAGGAAGGCCGAGTCCTTATTCTCGCGCATGATGCGGTTGAAGAGGTGGGTGTCCTGCCTGTTGTACGCCTCGGCGACCCCCCGCAGCGCATCCATGTCCTGGCCTCGGTACTCCAGCACGTTTTTAGAGGAGAGCAGCGCGGAGAGCTCGTCTGGGCTGTCGGCGGCAATCTTCGCGAGGACCATGTAGTGCAGCGCCTTGCGTGCCTGGCGGGCCTGGTCGCCAAGCTGGTGGAACCCCTCAAAGGCCTCGTAAAGGTAGGAGAAGGCCGTCTTGGCGTCGTGCTCCTCCGCGTGCAGCACGCCGCTCTGCAGGTCAATCTCCGCCTGGGCCAGCGGTGGGCAGTAGATGCTGTTGGCGTTCGTCCGCGCCGCGACAAGGGCGGCGCGTGCCTTGCCGATGTGCTGAATGGAGTAATAAATGCGGCTCTCCAGCAGGTGGATGTCAAGCAGCAGCGCCCGGTCGTCCAGTCGGCGCACCTCCCGCAACAGGGCCTGCAGCGTGGCGAGCGCCTCCTGCCGCTCATTCCGGGCAAACTGCACCTCCGCCAGCCGGTGCTGCAGCCGTTGCCGCAGGAACGTCCGCTTCTCCTGCCGCGCCCACGCAATCATGTCATGGCAGACCTCCATCTGTCGATCCAGGGAGGCGCCGCTGCTGAGGATGAGGTCAAACAACTTCCGCACCATGCGCGTCGTCTTGGCCTTTGGCAGCAGTGCGAAGAAGGGGCGGATGACGCAGAGAAGGTGCACCAGGGCGTCCACCTGCCGCTCGAGGCTAAGGATGTCCGCCAGGCGGTACACCGAACGCTCCTTCACGCGTATCCCCTCCGCATCGTCGGCGGCCACGTCGGTGTTGACGACGCCCTCCAGCACGTGACGCGCCTCGGCACGCTTGCCGTCGGCGAGGAGGTCCTCGGCGTTTTCTAAGAGCTGCTCCAACGGGCTACCCACCGCCTCGGTTGTGGGCGCTAATGCTGCGGCAACGGCGGCAGCCATGAGAGGCTCGTTTTTTTTTTTTGCCGCTTGTTGTTGTTTTTTTTGTTTGTTTTCTGTTCTCGGTGTATTCCTTCTTTGTTTGTCTGATGCTGCTGTGGTTGCTATACGCCGCTCTGCTGACTTTTTGCTCTCCTTTTTATTTTTTATTATTCTGTTGTTATTATTATTATTTTTTGTTTCTCTGGGCGCAGCAGCGACGAGGCGATGGAGCGGCGCAGCGTGGCAGTTGTTCTCGTTTTTGTTTCGTTTGTTGGTTGTTGTTGTTGTACGCAGGCGGCAAAGCGCCAAGAGAGAGAGAGAGAGAGAGAGAGAGAAGTTACGAGACGGCGCAGCGTTGTAGTGCGCGCGCGAGAGAGCAGCAGGCGACCGATGCACGCAAGCACGCACACACAGAGAGAGAGAAATATGTATGTAATAATTATTTGCGTGCAGGGCGGGAGAGAAGCAAAAATGGCATAATAGTGAGCGGGCGCGGCATGTGTGTGTGTGCATGCGTGAGGTATTGAATCAGCCCACGGAGCAGCAATGTGGGGCATGCACACACACACACACACATGACCGCCCCCCCCCCCCCAATCGCCCGCGGCTTCTTTGCTTGTAGTCCGTCTTGGCTGTTGTCTGTGAGGCGACCTGAGGCCCACCCACACACACACACACCCCTCGCTCTCACAACCCGTGCGTCCTGCACTGAAGCACACGCGCTCACTCCCGACGCTGGCGCTTCAGCGCAGTCGTCCCGTCGCCGTGCGTCAGCCCGCAGCCGTCGTTGGTGGCACCCGACGCCAAGTACGGCGCCTGCCGCGGAGGGTGCACCGGCGGCAGCACTGGCGCGTCCGCCTCCCGGTCGTAGCACATGTCCGCGTCGTAGCCGGAGAGATCCCCGCAGGCCAGGAAGGGCACAATGACGTTCTCCACCATAAAGGCCTCGTACTCCGCCTGAGTTTGGTCCACCGCCTGCTGCGTCTCACTCTGCTGCGACGCGAGCGCCGGCGGCGGTGGGGCGGCGGGCGTAAAGCACCGTGTGGTCGTCGTGAGGGGGCGGTCGAAGGAGGGGCGGTAGGCGGCGGGCGGCTGGTAGTCCTGGCAGACCATGAACGCCTCCATCGAGGCGTTGCGCGAGGACTTGGGCTTGGCGATCGTGACGTGCCGAAAAAAGACCTCCGACTTGGCCACCAGAAAAGGCGTGTTGGGGCCACGAAACATTTTGGTGACAAACGTCCCCCCGCGACGCAGCACAAACGTCGTGATATTCAGCGCCGCCAGCAGTAAGTGGTGCTGCAGGTACTCGTCCAACTCGTGCATCCCCGTCACGTCCGGGGCTCCGTCGCAGACGACAAGGTCCGCCTTCTTCTCACGGCCGCGCGCCGTGCCGCCGTCCTCCTCCGCCGCCGCCGCCGCCGCCGCGCCCGCGCCTGCGTCTGCGGCTTCCTTCTCCGCACGTTCGGCGCCGGCGGAGACCGCGTCGTCGTTGTCGTTGAGAAGCCGGATAATTTCCCGCGCGGTGGCCTCGCTCGTGATGTCGCCCTGCAGCAGCTGCACCCCCTCAATCGGCATCATCTCCTGCAGGTCAACGGCGACGATGCGGGCGGCGCCCGTGGACGGCTGCCCGGGCGCCCCCCGCACCTCCTCGCGCAGGTGTCGCGCCAGCACCTGCGACCAGCTCCCCGGCGCCGCACACAAATCCACAACGCCGGTGCGGATGCTGCCCCGCTGCAGAATGTCAAACTCCTCGTGCAGCTGCAGCAGCTTGTACGCACTCCTCGCCCGGTAGCCCTCCTCCTTTGCCTTGCGGTAGTAAATGTCCCGCTTGTCCTTCGAGGCACGGCCCATTTCCGCGCTGTCTCCTACCCCCTGCGATACGCCCCCGCAAGCGCAGCGAGAGAGAAAAAAGCAAAAAAAAAAAGCTCCTGGAAGTTTAACAAAGCGGTGTCCAGCCTCCGCTTGAAGGCGCCTCCCTTTCACCTCTCCCTTTTTCACCCGCCCCCTCTTTCCTTATCTCTCTCTCTCTCTCTTGTTGCTCGCATCGAGTAATAAGTAACGCGGAAAGAGGAAAAGAGAAAAACATGAATAGCGGTGAAAACTCGACTCGGTGTTTTGTGCCCCCGTTGAAGCTGTCCTCGTCCCGCTCCCTTCTTTTTTTTTTTACGGAGTCGGCGTGACCGTGCATGCAAGTAAGTTTTTTTTCTTTTTTTCCTCCTCTCTCCGTGCGTGTGTTTATGTTTGTTTGTGTGTGTGTGTGTTGCGTAGAGCCAACGACGTTCCACCCACCCCCCCTCCCCCCAACACACGCACCCCACGCCGCGGAGTTGGAAGCAGCTGTGCACTCCGGCCCCAAGCCCGCCTCCTCTTTCGCTGCGCATTCCTCTGCCGCTGTGGAATCCTCTTCCTCCTCCTCCTCTCGCGCGTTTGCTCTCGCCCCCCACTCCCACCCCACCCCACTCCCCTCCTCCGCAATTCATTTCGTTTTCTTCCTTTTTATTGTTTGCGTCTTCCATTCGTTTAAAGCACGCGCTTCTGGTGGTGCTTTGCCACCTCCTGGCGCACGCGATCCTCGTACTCCTTTCGGTCCCGCATGTACACCTTGTACGGCTCCTCCTGCGCCGGGTCCTTGATGTTGGGGTTGTCCAGCAGCTCCTGGATGGCGAGCAGGATCTGCTTGATGGTGATGCTGGGCCGCCAGTCCTTCTCCTCGTTCAGGATGGAGAGGCAGACGGTGCCGCTCGGGTACACGTTGGGGTGAAACAGCACCGGGGTGAAGACGCACTTGGGCGGCCGCGTGGGGTAGTCCTCCGTGAAGTGCAGCAGGAGCCGGAACTCGCCGCCCTCGAATGGGGTGCCGGGCTTGCCAGGAATCCCCGCCTCCCACTCGAGGAGGTCCAAGCCGCCGCCGCCCGCACCCGCACCCGCGGGCGCGTCGGTGGTGCTCGTGTTCGCGGGGGCCGAGCCGCCCGCCGTCGCGGCGGTCGACGGCGCGGACGCCGACGACTGCGAGGCCTCGCGTGGGCGCGCCCAGAAGCCAAACGGGCGGTCCTTACGCCACGCCTTCCGCTCCTCCCGCAGGCGAGCCTGCGCCAGCGACAGTCCCGACATGTCCTCCACACAAACACACGCACACGCGCACGCGCACGCCCTCCCTCTCTTCCTCCTCCTGCTGCTCCCTCCCCGCCTTTTTCTTGTCTTTTGCCTTTTTTGTGTCGCTCCTCGCGCTGACGCCGCCCACGCAGTCCCCTCCGCCGCGCAGGTTGCTTTTGCACTTGCAGCCGCCACGTGCTGGGGACCCGAGCGCAGCAAAATACAAGAAGAGATAGAAAAAAAAATGATAATAATAAAACGACAGCGGAAGGGAGTTTCAGTGAGAACTGTCGCGATTCCAGCCAAATCACCCGCGGCCGCCGCCAGGGCCCCGCCGGCTGTTGCCACTCACGCAGCAGCTCTTGTAAATGCATGGGCGCAGCACACGCACACACGCAACGACAATATGTCCCTCCACGGCGTCTCCACCCGCCCACCCCCTCCAACAAATGTCACAGACAGACACGGGGAGTGAACTTTCCACCACCCACCATCGCGGCCAACGAGCGACGAAGTTGACACGTTCCCTTTCCTCTTTATTCTTCGATTGTTTTCCTTTTCTTTTTGTTTTTGTTTTTGTTTTTGTTTCTTTTCCTCTGTGTATGCGTGTGTTTTTGTGTGCTTCACCTCATTGGCATCCCGCAAAAGTGTCTCCGAGACGTTTCTCTCACGCAATCACCTTCACACAGCCAAGCGGCGGCACCACCTGCACAAACGGATACGCGTGAATTCGCTTGGAGGCGTTGTCGAGGTGCCGGTTCATGCGCAGTGTGCCCTGCACAAGCACCGTGCTGCCGAGATGCACCTGCTCCTTCAGCAGTGCGGCGGGGAAGTTATCGCCCATGCAGCGCACGACGATCAGCTCCGTCTCGGTCGCCGGCGACGAGGCCGCGTCCGCGCCCCCTGCGCCAGCAGCCGGCCCCTCCTCGCCAACCTCAAGCACGTACTGCGTCACCGCCGTCGTGCCAAGGAATCCGTGCTGCACATCCGCGATACGACCGAGCAGCACCGCGTTACTGCTGGCGCGCAGGTGCACCTGAAGTGCCTGCTGCTCCACGGCTGCCGGGGGGACGGCCTTCTGCAACGCCTCCGGCAGCGATGCCGCCTTCACCGCGTCGTGGATGGTTTCCGCACGGCCGCCGCCGGCGGCGTCATCGTTGCCGGAGGCATCCGTCTTGGCCTGGCCGGCACCACCGCCAGCGCCTCCGTCCTCAGCGTCCAGGCTCGGCGGAAGGGCGTGCAGCGCCGACCTCCGCTCGGTCGCGTATAGCGTGCGCAGCTGCTCCTCCGTGAGCTCCTGCCCCTCGTGCCCCGACTCCACGTGGTCAAGGAGAGCGTCCAGCAGCCGAAACGACGGAACAGCCGTCGCATCGCACGCCTCCGCCCTCCTTCGCTGCTGCTCTGCACAAAGGGGGCAGACGAAGCGGCGCAGCGACGCCGATCGCGCTAAACTCGGGCGTGAGGCACGCAGTCGTTTCTTTAACTCCTCCTCCTCAGCAGCAGAAGCAGGAGCAGCCGCAGTGTTGGTGCCAACGGTAGTCGTGGCCGCCGTTGGCTGCGACTCTCGCGCCACCTGCAACTGTGCCGCAAGCTCCTCCTGTGGGATGAAAGGATTGACGGGCTCCTTTTCAAGTTCCTGCAGAACCGCATTGGGGGAATCGCCAAAGGGATTCGGGTACTTCTTCACGAGTTCCTTTATCGGCAGGTTGTGCCCTGCCGCAGGGCTCCGCGAGGCGGCCATGGAGCCGCCGGACAGCATGCCCGGTTTCTTGATGCCTGGGGCGGCGCCCTCCGGGGTGGCGCGTGCCGTGGGCTTCGCATTCGCCTCCATTTCCTTCCGTCGGTCGGCGGTGCCCTCCACGACGGTGTGAAAGGGAACAAAGGCGTTGGGTTCGTTTTGCCCGGGGAGGTCGTCGCGCTGGGCGGCGACGGCGTCCCAAACCTCCTGCAGGAGCTCGTCCACAAGCTCCTCGCTTGGCAGCGTCAACGTCGCCTTGTTGTACGGCACCTTCACCGCGCTGATGCCCACGCCTGCCGCTGCGGCGTCCGTGCCCGGTTTCTGCTTCGCAGCGGACGCCGCCGCAGCCGCCGTCGCCGCCGTCGTCGTCGTGGCGGGCGGCGGGCCCGCCGCTGCTCGGCCCGTGGAGGCGGCGGAACTCACGACTGTCGCTGCGGCCTCTTCAATGACTTCGCCCTCGCCCGCCCCCGCCGCCACCGCCGCCTTCAGCTCCGCTGGGTGCTTCAACTTGACGTGCTGCTCCGCGGAGAACTCCAGGCGAAACGCCTTCCCGCAGGCGGTGCAGTGAAACCGCATCGTCGGATCAGGCGGCGAGCGCCGCACCAGCGTGGCGGTGCTTAGCCCGCCCCTGCCTGGCGTGCCGCGCGCCGCCGCCGCCGCCGCCGCCGAGGGCGTAGACACCGCCGTGGGCTTCCTTGCGACGACTGTCGCCACTGTGGTGGTGGCGGCGGCAGCGGCGGTGTCGCAAATGACAAGTTGCCGGGTGCCGGTGGTGTGGAGCGGCGGGGGCAGGTGCGTGGGCTCGTACGCCAACGTCATCCCACGCATCCGCGCCAGCTGCGCGGCCGGCAGCAGCACCTCCGGCACGGCAGGCGGCTCCCCGCTTGGGCTCAACTGCGGAGGCACGTTTAGCAGCACGCCGTGCTTCTTGTGCGCCTCCGCCAGCAGCAGAAAGTGCACGTCGGCCTCGTCGAGGAGAAAGACCTCGTGGAACTGCAGCTCGCGCGGCTCACCCGCGGGGGCGCAAGCGCCCGCATGCGTGACGTGGCTGGAGTCACCGGCGGCAAGGGAAGACGTGCTACAGGCAGAGGAGGAAGAGGGGGAGGCTGAGAGGGGCGCCGGCGCCGCGGAGCCCACGCAGCGCAGCAGGCGGGTGCCGCCGTGGAGCGTCGCCAACGCATGTGAAGAAGGCGCCGTCGGCAACGGCGCACGCGCCACCCGGCGCCAGCACTTCAACGCCGCACCCGTCAAAGTGCCCGTTGCGCGGCAGTCACCGCAGGCGGGACACGCCCGACGACCACCGCGGTGGGTGAACCGCCTCATGGGGCTCCGCTGCGTGAAACAAACGGACCCGCACACACACACACACACGCAGGGATCAAAATGTCGTCCGGGGAACCCAACGAAGGGCGTCCGGTTCTTCTTCCTTCCTTTCCTTTTCTCCTTTTCGTTCTCGCTTCTTCCGTCGTAGACCCGTGAGAAGGAAAGAGGGAAAAAAGTGCAGCAACCAAAAGTTGACTGGAGCCGCCGCCCCCCCCTCCGCCAGGCTTTTTTTTTGTTTTTTTTTTTTCGTTTCTACAGCACCGCACTTAGTCAAAGGAGGAGAGAGAGCACGTGCAAATCCACAGACAAAACCCGCGCGACCCAACCCCACCGCCAACTGCCTCACATCCACCAGTCACAATTACATACACACACACACACACGCACAAAGGCACAGGCACCTGGTCCATCTGCCGGCGCCTATTCGCTATGCCATCGCCTCCTCTCCGTTGTCTTCCTACTCCACTTTTGGTTTCATTCCGTTTATTTGTGTGCGGGTGCGTGCGTGTGTTTTTTTTGTTCCCCCAGTTTAATCGCTCCATTTATATCCTCATCTCTCTCTCTATCTCTCCTGCTCGTGTGCGACGCAGCTCTCCCTCTTCGAGCGGGCGGCGGCGGCGGCGGAGGGAAGGGGGAGTTGCGCCTCACGCGAAGGTGACGGAGCTGGGGCGGGTCTTTGGCCGCAGCGTCGGGGAGTCGCCGTGGCGGAGGAAGCGGGAGAGGCCCCGCGCGCGCCTGCGGGCCTGCGCGGCGTCGGGGGCCCAACTCCCCGCCAGACTCAGCGGCGCATGCGTCACGCGCTGCACCCGCACCCCGCGGTGCACCGTCGCCAGGACGACGAGGCCAAAGATGATAAACAGCAGCAGCGACAAAAAGCCAGGCAGAAAGAGCGGGTAGAGGACGAGGATGGGCAGGAAATGCAGCAGCACAATGGCGAGGAAGAGGTGCATCCGCCACTTCTGCCGCTCGTGCCGCATGCTGTGACGGCTCTGGTTGTTGGCGGGCGTAAACGTCGGGGCGACCGCCTTGAAGTACTTCAGGAACTCCTCCAGGTGGAGGATGGCGGGGAAGTTGTGGCTCTTAATCGGGGGCATCTTCCGCTCCGTCAGCGGCACCTCCCAGGAGAAGGTCAGCACCGGGGTGTTGCCGCAGAACTTGTAGCCGTAGACAGAGGCAAAGCGCAGCGTCTTCAGCTCCGTCTCCGCCACCGTCGGGCTGATGAGGCCGTTAAATATCGTCAACAGCCGCCGGCCCGTGAGCACGTAGAGGCGGCTGCTGCTGCTCAGCGTCGTCGTGAGCAGCGCGGTGAAGGCCATAATCAGCAGGAAACCCAAGACCCCCATCGTGGTGGAGCCAAAGAGGCGCACAAGCACGTAGCTCGGGTCCCGCACGCTCGACGCCACCGCCAGCCAAATGCCGAGGGCTAAGCCCGCCGAGAGGTCCACGTAGAGCCAGAGGTCGCAAAAGATGATGCTCGACACCTCCGGCTTCTCGCACCAGAGCACGTACTCGTCCCTAGCCAGCGTCTCGCGCAGCACCTTGCGAAACTCCTGCTCCAAGCCTTCCATGTTGAGCAGCTGCGCCGTTTCTCCCTTCTTTCGTCGCACCAGCTCAGGGGGAAGCGGGTTGCCCTCCAGCAGAAGCGCACCTGCGCCTCCCCCGCCGCGGGGTGGCTGGGCGGCGTGCGATAGCGGGGTGGCCCGCAGCGACGGGGGCGAGGCGGCCTCAGCCTCCGCAAGTGCCGGAAACACCGAGAGAAGCGGGCGGCCACGAAGGCGGAGGGCAAGTTGCACGTAGAGGGTCTCTCGCGCCGCCTGCAGCTGCACCTGCGCCGCCCGTCTAAAGTACACGTGGGCCCCAAAGACGGCGTAGGCGGCGTAGGCGCTGAGGAGGAGGTAGGCGTAAAAGCCATCCGCAAACCACGGCTTTAGTGATACGCAGAAGAGCAGGATAAAGCCCAGCAAGGCACTAGAGGCACCGATAAAGAGGGGAAGAAATCCAAATCGTGCGATATCGCACCAGAAGCATACATCTCCTGGTGAAAGCGGGGCCGGTTGAGGCATCCTGCAAATGGGACAATTACTCGGCACACGCTGCTGTTGCTGTTGCTTCTGCTGTTGCTGCTGTTGTTTTTGTTCCGGCTCGTGTGGGCCATGGCTCTCACCGTGCGAGCTACGCTTATCCCCCTCCTCGCTTCCATTCCCATTCCAGTGATTGTTGTTAACTTGCTGCGTTTTCGCCTTAACAGGCACCTCCGTTGTGGCGTCGGTCCCTCGCTCCGTCCCCGGCTGCGTGCTCGTCGGCCGCGGCTCCCCCGTTGCGGGCGCCGCCCCGGTGAGCAGCTGACTCAGGCGCGGCTCGTACTTCCACGGCAGCTGCCGCACGGCGTGGAGCCAGAGGTAGAAGCCGACGTCGAGGAGCAACAGGGCGCAGGCGAGGGCAATCCACACAATCGTGATAGGGCGGCAGATGTAAATGTTGTTTGTCGTGTGTGCCGCGGCGCAGGCCATGTCCGGGCAGGTGGGGTTAAGCTTCGCGTGGCGCAGGTCGGGGCAGGCCGCCGCCGCGGAGGCGTTAAAACGCACGCAGAGCCGGGCAGGGACGCACCACGCGCAGTCCATCGAGGGGCTCAAGATGCCGTCGGAGGCGTCGAACACGCACTCGGCGCAGCGCCGGTACGCGGCGCAGGCATCGACGTCGACGGCGACGCCCGCTCTGCTGGCCGCCGGTGTGCCCGGCCCCGCGACGGACGGCGCAGCAGCAGCAGCGGCGGCGGCGGCGTCGCCCACGCAGCACACGGCGGCCACCACCACCGCCGCCGCAAACATCCTCCTCCTCCCCGCCGCTGGCGCAGCCGTCATTTCAGCGCGATGGCCACGGCGGCGCTGCCTCAACTCCGTGCGTCTCTCTCTCTCCGTGTCTCTGCGTGCGTGCGTGTGTGTTTGCCCGCACGGCTGCCTTGCAAAAAGGGAGGGCGCGCCTGTACGCCGCCCGCGGTGCGTGGGAACTGACCAAAAAAAAAAACACACACACACAACGAAAAAAAGGGCGCGGGCACCGCACGCCGCTTCTCACTTTGCCGCTGAATCTTCGCCTGCAGAGTGGCGAAACCCCCTGCGGGGAGGAAAAGAAAATGCCAAACAAAAAAAAAAGGAAAGAGGGGCGGCAAAGAAAAGCAGGTGCAGCGCGGCGAGGGAGGCGCAAGCGCAGGGTGTGGCGCGCACAAAGCAGAGAGGGAGAGAGAGAGACGCAGACGCGGAGTGAGAGGAGGAGTGAGGAACGCAAAGAGATACATATTTTTTTTTAGAAAAAGCACACAAACAAAGAAAGAAAGGCATTCGTACTTGAAAGCAACAGAAAAGAAAAGAAAAGCAAAAATTGAAAGGACGCACAGATATAAAGAAAGCAAAAAGTGAGGAGGGGGGGAAACAATAAGAAGCGCATGAAACACATCCGGGTTCATCTGGCCTTCCCATTGGCGCCGCCCTCGCCTTCGGTCGCCTGTCGTGCCGCGGCCGAGAGCCTCCCGCGCCCGTCACCTTCTGAGAAGCGCGGAGAACTTCGAGGCGCGTCGTCCGTCGCCGCCTTTTCTCCACGACGCGCCCGGCTCTCTTCGCGCCACCGCACTGTCGCGACTGTTCGCCAGTCCGTGCCGCGTGCTGTCGGGGATCACGACGCCGTTGACGACGCCGGCGGGCCCCGCCTCCTCCTCCTCCACCGCCCCGTCGCTGGCGTGGCACCGCCGGCAGCCCATGCAGAGGGCCGTCACCAGCACCATCAGGCCGCTCACCGCAAGCACCGCGACCGCCAGCCAGCTGAGGGCGTTGGAGAACAAGGCCTCAAACAGGCCCACGCTCGACCCGTCACCCGCGGGGTTGGGCGGGGGGGGCCCGAAGTAGACGGTGCGGTGCTGCAGCGACTGCCGCCCCGAGTGCCGCGTGAGTTTCGCCAGCGCGCCCTGCATCCCGGGGAAGCACCAATCCGGCAGCGACAGCGTCGTCCCCGGCGGGGCGGCGGGCGTCTGCCCGTCACCGTCGCGGGACGGCGTCATCAACGACACGGTGAAGCTCACGGCAAGCTGCTGCGGGTCGTCGCGGAAGCCCGTAAAGAGGGAGAGTCGGTGGATGCTGCAGCCGTGCACCTCGCCCAGCGCAGCGAGGGACGAATTCGCCGCCGCACCGCCGTGGGCGTCCGCCGAGGGCGACCGCCGGCTCAGCACGTAGTTTTGGCAGATGCAGCGTGTGAGGTCTTCGTGCAGCGCGCGCTGCACCATCCGCACATACCGCAGCGGCGCCACAGGCAGGTAGCGCAGGGCGGGGCCCATAAGAATAAGCGTGGCGTCCTCCTCGACGGTTACATACTGCGCCACGGGGTGCGCCTCCCGGCCGCCAGGCGGCGCATCCACGCCAGCGGCGTCCTGCGCAGCGGAGGCAGGCAGGCAGGGAAACCGCAGGGCCGGCTGCACAGCCACCAGCAGGAGGAGAAGCAGAAGCCGCAGCATTGGCAACCAACGCGCTCCAATCAGACACGGGCCCACGCTCCTCCGCCGCCGCCGTACGACCCCCGCACTGCCGGCCTTCGTGTGTAACAAATGCAAGGCCGTGTGTGTGTGACTACCCCTTGTCACAGACGCCGCCTTGCCGCCGTGGCCTTCCCCCGCGCCTATTCACTTCCCTCAGAAGCCACTTATTCCCCGTCCCCTGGGGTGGGGGCGAGTATATATATATATAAACGTGTGTGTGCGTGTGTGTGGCCCCCCGGGGTGGAGGAAATGAGCTAAGAGCCCTACACAACGGCAACGCCAAGTAGAGAAGCCAAAAAAAAAAAAACGAAAGCACACACGCACGTTAGTCGATGAAGGATCTGTCATGCCCGTCGCCCAAAAGCGACTGCACACCCCAGACTTCACAGGCGCACACATGCAGCGTTTGTGGCTCGCACCCAGCAGCCCTCGGCACAATACACGCACGCACAGACACGCGCAAGCAAAGCGATCACAAGCAGAAGAGCCTCAAGAAAAAAGGGCACAGCTATCCTATAGCTGCGTGTTCGTTGGTAATGACACGAAAAAAAGAGAGAGAAAAAAAAACGTCCTTCATCTCCTCACTTCCTATGCTTCCATGTGCGTAACTGACGGCAATGGCCCTGGTGCAGCGGAGTTCACCGCGTCGAGAGCGAGGCTGATGATGCCGAGAGAAGCAGCGTTCCTTGGAGGCTCCCACATCTAGGCGGAGGCACACATAATGCACGCCCATACATTACAACAAGAGCCACATGTGCTCTTTGCGACTTTGTTTTTTTCTTTCTTTAATAATTCCTCCTTCTTCATTGCGGAGACGTCCTCGCGGCCACGCAATGCGTGCATCGCCCACGGCGGACCCGGCGCTTGCCGGCTCCTCCGGGTTCTGCAGCGAACGTCTACAAATTCTTTGGCTTCTGCCGCCTTTTCGTCCTGCTGCGATAGACGCCCGACAGCCAACGCCAGGCGAGACCCATGCAGACCCCGACAGTAAACCCACCAATGTGCGCCGCGTGGCCGACGACTTCGCCTGCCGGCAGCCACGCGGCGCTGGCGAGTTCCGCTTGCGGGCGCAGCAGCGAACAGACGACGGCGACGAACTCGGGCACCACCATCGCGAGTGCGGTGCCCCACCGCTGGTAGTACGCCGCGTTGAAGCCGGCCAGGGAGCAGATGCCGGCACTGGCGCCGCACATGAAGACGGCGTCCGTCCGCCGCTTGTCTATTTTGTAGTTCATCCGGTCCACCCAGTTGCGCACGCGCCGCAGCACGCCGTCCACGGCGCCGCCGCCCGCCCCCTCCTGCACCCCCGCCAGCGAAAGCCACCGCCTGTGCCGCCGCGCCAGCTGGGCGTCGTTGTACAGCAGCTGCCCGCCGATGCCGCCCACGATGCCGCCGCCGACGAGGACGACGAACGAGCCAAGCGTGCGCCGCAGCGAGACCCAGGCGCTCTCCTCCTCCACGTTCTCCACCACGGAGGGGCCGCCGAACTCGACGAGGGTCGCCGTGAGTGCGGAGAGGTTCCCAAGGAGGTGGGAGTCGTTGGCGTGCACAAACAGGTGCGTCAGCAGCACAATCGGCCTGCGCTTAAAGGCGTCGACGGAGAAGCCGTAGTCCATCACGCGAACGAGCGCCTGCAGCTGCGTCGGCCACTCCCCATTCTGGTAGTACGCCAGCAGACACACCCACACCGGTGTGAGGCGAATCGCCGCACATGTGAGCTCCACGTGCACCATCCGAACCCCGCCGCCGCCGCCGCCGAAGACGACGACGATGACCCACGCGCTCTGTTCTGCGTGGAGGCGGCACGCGCCCACGCGGACGGCGGAGGAAAGAAGCAAAGAAGCAAAGAAAAAAGAAATTAAAAAAGAAAGGAATAATCGTGCAAGGAGAAATCGCACAATTGCACAAACACACACGCACGCGGAGGGCCCGTGGTGCCCCTCGCGCTGCAGGGCGGCGAGGCAGACGGCATGAGACATGAATTAAAACCCTCCAAGCAAAACGACAACAAAAAAAAGAGGTTGGGGGCAAATCTAAACAAGTAGACCAAATAAAAAAAAACTAAATAAATAAAACAAAGCCATATGTATCACTGCCGCACAGAAGGAAGAAGAATGTGTGCGAGTATGCAAGGCCCAACACCGCACATGTGCGTGTGCGTGCGTGTGTGTGTGTGTGTTTATTACTGTGAGCAGAACCCGCATCCACGTGAATATTGGATGCATACATCGTCACCTCACTAATCTGCAGGCTCTCTCGCTCTCTCTCAGAAACACACACACACACGCACGGGTTGGGGAGCCTCCATTGGCTCCCGCACTGCAGTCCCTCCGCCTGGGCGGCCACCGGCTCCCCTCGGGCTCCCTCCTGGCTGCCGCGTCAGCTCCCACGCAAACCCCCCCCCCGCCTCCCACCGTCGCCCACCACCAGTCAGAGGCCCGCCCGCACACACTTCCGCCACTGCCGCCTCCTTCACTCTTCTCCGTACTTGCTTCTCTTTTCTTTTAGATCCCTTCTAAATATTAGTCCCCCCACGCCCCGCCGAGACCTCCGCTTTCGCGTTCACCCAGCGGCGTCCACCTCCGCCGCAGCGGAGGCGCGCGCTGCATCCCGCACTGAAAATACGGGCCTCCCGCCGCATAACACTGCGAAGGCGACGGAAAGAACGAGGTCCTCACGGATCCGCCGACCAATCCCAAGAATGAATTGTTTTCTTTTTTGCCCCCCTCCCCCATGGAACTAAAAGCACACTTCATCACTATCTTCCTCCCCTTTCCTCTGTTTAGTTTTTTCTCCCTTCAGACTTTAACTTCGACTCATTCTTTTTTCTTTCTTCACTTCATTCACAACAACAACAAAAAACCCCGCATTGACTTCTACAGTTTCTCACATGAAAACAGAGACAGTTCCGCTAATTCAAAACAACACAAAACGGAAAAAAAAAAAAACATGTTTCGTCCGGCCCCGTCACGGCCTTCCGAGTCGAGAGGCGCCAGGCCTCTCCGGGGCCCAAGCTACGCGTGCGTCAGGAGGACGCCGGGCCTCAGGTTCTTGTCAACCGTCACGGCCGCCGTCCAGTTGTCGGCAAGCTTTGCGATGTAGGCCACCGCCCACTCCTTGTTCTTGGTCACGCGTGCCTTCAGGGTGTTGCCCTTGAACAGCACGCAGGCCGTCTCGAGGCCCAGCGTCCCCGTCCAGCCCTTGCCATGGCCGCACACCACCTCCGCGCCAACCAGCACGTGGTGGGGGCACTTCGGAATCGGCGTCACCACGCTGGTCGTGTAGGAGCGCAGCTTGCTTGTGCGGATAGCCACCACGCGGCCGGCCTCGGCGTAGCGGCAGGCGGCCGTCCACTCGCAGCCCTGCTTCCCGTCCAGCTGGTAGGCCGCACCGCATCCAACCTGGCAGTGGGACGCCACA